CGTTGGAGTAATAATAATTGAGAGTTTACATACCACCTAACCAAACGATAATATAATCTATATACAGTCACTAGTTCAGGCAACGCACGCTTTTGATGTGAAAGCAATTCACACCGGTGAGCGCATGTGACCACCTGTGTGAAGCCGTTCACTTTTGAGGTGGTCGGCGGAGAGTCGCATACGCTATCCAGCGCGTCGAACATCACAAGTGAGAAGACTTGGTCCTCTGCGTCGACAGATCGCCCTCGACGTGCAGCATCACCTTCGCTGATAATAAGGCCTACCGAGACCTGCAATAAACAACCGTCAAAAGCTTCCCGTTTCAGCACAGCAACTGGTGAAAACCAATGTTGTGTTGAAAGGCGGCATAATCATTATTGCAGCCAGTGCGATTGCAGGCATACAACAGCAGCACACACGGGCTGTACAAGCAGGCATACAAACAGGCAGCACACACGGGCTGTATCAAGCAGGCAGGTACAAACAAGTAGCACACTACAGGCAGTACAAGTAGGAGTACATGCATGCTGCAAGGCAGAACATGCAGGCAGTACACAACAGGCAAGTACATTGCATAAATGCAGGCAGTACATGCAGCAGTAAACGCGGGCAGTAACACAGAGGCAGCACACAACAAGTGCTATAGCAGTACATGCCATGGCAGTAAAAGCGGGCAGTACAGAAATCGCAGGCAGTACAACAGGCAGTACATAGCAGAGCAGATATGTGAGGAGGTGTCGTACCAAGAGGATTCGTTCGCGTCAACGGCGTCTGTTGATGGCCCTGAAAGTGTCACAGGTCGATGGTGGACAGCTCGTCATTGAGGGAGCTAATTAAATGCGGCCCGATTCTTTAACTGCCTTCCGCCATCTTTCAACAAGCGTACCACCTTTCCAGATTGTACACAACGGCATTTGTGATGACCTCATCGGTTTGCCGAAACAGACACAAACTGAAATACACATTTAACGAGCACAATTAAATAATTCGTTTCTAAGATATTATCTTTGATTTAGAATTTTTATTAGTAAACTAGGATTGACTCCAAAACGCACGTTTTGGACGCGAGTCCAGACAAAATTTTAACATTGTGACATACACGATCACTGCATAACGAATGACTACAAACGTGCATAAAGAAACCTGTTTCCATAGCAACCTGCTGCACAAAGCTGGCCAACTGCCAGCATGCTTGATAATTTCCTGCTCATCAGATCTGGATAAGCTTGTCCGGGGTCGATTGCGCGACAGGGTTCGGAGACCGTGCGTAAACGTTGGTGCAGGCTCGAAGAGCTAGATGTGTCTTTATGCAACCAGGATCGGACTCAAGCGATGTCCTTCTACTCACCCAGTTTCAACAAGATCTGCCCATCATAAAATAATTGCGTTGATGCATACTACCAGTGTAATCGAAAAGAGAGTGATAAGGAACATCACCAAGCCCACATCCGCTGAGCTTTTAGACAGCAACGCAATACAGAAATTAATGCAGGCCAGCTATATCGTGTGAAAGATCAAGAAGAACTATAAGAGTGATAGCGTCAATGTCCTTACGAACCTCATTCACATGTAGGGATGAATTCATGATGGTCTGCACCACTAAGGGTGATCAGATTATAAGGGTCCGAACCCATCAACCTGAGCGCTAGCTTTTCGGTTTGAATATTAGCAAGTTCCTCAAGGGGTACTGAAAAGAGAGTTACTCAGGATATAACGAATGCATGTATCTTTTCGTCATTTTAGCAAAAAAGCACAGTTACCGTTATTTTAGTACCATCTGTTACATGTTAACGCGCGTGCACGCATCTAAAACTTTACATCATCTGGCTAAATTATCAGTAAACTTTACCAGAGACATTGTCCTTGATACAAAGTACCTGAGGCAAGCTTCAGTCCTTAACTCCACGACTGATAGTGCCTCAGCTCCTGATAATAGTGGCTGTTTTCATCTATGCCCGCCCAGCCCTAAAGAATGCTTCCATTGAGAGCCCTTGCATCTGTTGAACAGATAACACTCGCATGAACGCAATCTGATCAAGTGTCAAGATCAGTCCCATAAAATGTACAAGAGCGAATTATTAAAATGCTGAGCCCTGAACGCCCACGTTAAAAAAAAACGTCAGTCGAATGTTCGTATACACACTACATATTCTTTAATTACCACAAAAAAAATGTCCCTAAAACGCCACGTTTAGCACAAAAAAAGAACCGTTAATTGTGACACGTTGATTAATGTAGTTTTCGCAAAATGTTTAAAAAAAAACATCCCTAACTGAGCAAGCGCAGTAACCCGTCCCGACTCCTGTCCTCATATCACTCGACTAGCAGTCGTGTCAAGCACTAAACACACCGTCAGCACAATTTCCCGACCAAATCGTCTCGTTCAGCACTCGTAGTCAACGACCTCTACGACGTTCGATAATGTCAAGGTCGACTAGATTCAAACTTCGTTGAAGGTCAATCACACGCCTTGCTCGAGTAGCAGCTTGAGATTTGACTGATGACGCCGAGTCCCATAGCGAGATCCTGAGAAACTCGATGGAGTGTCCCAGAACGCCAGTGAGATGTAACTCTGATCCGACCGACAAGCAATACAGTCTCAGTACGTGAGGCAGCTGCCACATAGAGATGAGAAAGAACTCGAAAGACACATCAAAAGCTTACACACAAGGTCATTTACATTTCCATTAATGTAATATTCAGGTAAGACAAACAAAATGCCGAATTTCCGTAAAAAATTGATGATATCCGTTTTTCTTAAATTAAACCACTTGCCAGCTGCCAGTAATTGTTTTTCTAACATTAACTTATTTCAAGGATATGAGTCGTCGTGGGTATATGAATTGCCTGTTATCAGAGTGAACCCAACATTTCGTGTTAAAAAATGTGTAATTCCTGCTGTAAAGTTTTCACACAAGTTCTGGCAGGACATTGCTACATTGCACATCCAGTAGCCAATGTAAGCAAAGCTGTAACATAGTACCATCTATGTTTACTACCTAATATGTTTTACAGTCCAGCAGCTATGATACCGTTGCAACTGATGAGATGTGTCCTAGGTTTCTGCAGATTCAGCAGGGTGCAGCGTTATCTTCAGAATGCGTCCTGCACGATGGCTGTCTGCAGTAGATGGCAAAACAAGTGGTGCTAATAACTCAATGAACCCTGCAGCATTCAACAGACACAGAGGTTTCAAACACAACCAATCCAAAAGCTTGTCACGAGTATATTCGCTCATTCTTGCCTTCCGAAATGCATTTGCGTCATCAAACCAGATTAGGCAACTGTAAAAACGAAATGAACGAAAACACAGTCAAAAGAAATTTAACAACGTATTCCAACTGAGGATACGATATTTGTGAGTTGGTCACAAATGACCATTGAGTCACTGGCGATATAGCTGATATTTCCAGAAACACTTTCCTAACAGTAAGCTATGCCCATACAAACCACCTGCCATGACACAAATGATTGACACATTAAAGCATAAAACTCCGTTCCAAACGTAACCACCTCGTCCTCCATGTAAAATATATGTCTACGTCCTACTTGGTACACTGTACGGTACGTGTACACGTAAATGTCTGAACCTGCGTGGGATGTGCCGTCTGCAGTAGCGTGTATGTGTTAGCGTCTACGTGTACGTATATCTGTGCGTGTGCGCTACGTCTCCGTCCTACGGTGTTGAACATAACCCTAACGTGTCCAACTCGCTCCACAGCTGCGGCCTCGCCGACATTCTGCAGACAGGTGAGGTAGGCAGTTGCTGCACAGCGGGATGCGTGATGTTCCAGTGGGTAGATCTGGCACAGCGTGGCGAGGCGTGACGTGTACCTGCGCCGATCAGCAACTAAACGCGCCGTGAAGTTGCCCTCACTCAAACCGTCACCTGAATGGCGATCGATCGTCAATCGTTAAGTGATTACGTCACCGTATAATTAGTAGAAGTAAAAAAATGAATGTCCACCTTTCACAATTAGTGATTCTGTAAACTTTTATGGTTAAATTGCTATCTAACACTCCTATTTTGCTATTCCGTCGATGTGAACAAAGCAACTCGTGACTGCTATACATGATAAGGACCCAAAGCCCCCCACAGCATTAATGTGTCGTGATCAATATATCAAATCGCCGATTTTTGCATTTTTAACTAGATTGATGAAACAATGCTTAAATGTAATAATTTGAGGATACCATTAGGTGGGCCGGTTAGTACTTATTACATTTCATGTA